ACAGTTCTCAAGATTCGTCCAATCTAGAAGTGGCGGGTTACACTGCTTATTCCACAGCTTTGAGTGTTACCATAGCAATCGGATGTTCACTATTGATACTAAACGTTTTAATTTTTGCTGGAGTATATTATCAAAGAGATAAAACGCGATTACAAGTGAAAGCGCTCCAACAGCAACAGAAAAGGAATCACAATTCGACATTCGACAGTGTCTCATCGAAACATCCACATTATTTCGTTGGACATTCTCAGAGTTCCAGTACGATAGTGGACATCGATCATCAAGATAAAAACGCTATAATTGCATTGACGAATCGAGTTCCACACTTTACTAATTCTAACTGCCCTAACGTTTGTCATACTGGGATGCAAATGACAAGTTTAGCACAGAAGAACAGCCCACCAACAAATCGAGGGCAATGTACCACACTACCGAGGAAAGTGGGTTTCAGTTATCAACAGAATCAAATCTGTAATCCATCTAACTGTATGACTCTACCGAAAAACGCGACTTTTATGAGTGGAACTAACTTACCAGATGTACAAGCACAGACGGGACAAACACAGTCTCCTGGTAACGGAGCTGTTCTTCCAACTTCACCTCATTTCGCACAAAAATCAAGAGTCCCTCAAGCGGCCATCTCAGAAATGAACGTATGAGATATGGAAGATATTTACAATTATGTATAAAAGTGAAATTAGGAACAATAACACTAGTGCATGGTTGTAAATATCTGGAAAGTGAAAGTGTAAATAGACGTTGAAATGTAATCACAATATTTATAAGTACCACAATTTCATTAATTGTACATAATGGTATGTGAAAACCTATTGTAAATAGGTGTAATATTGTGGCCAATTTAATCACTGTTGTAAACATCTGTATGTAAAGCCTGAATTAATTAAAATACTTTTGATTAGTGTTAATAACATCATAGGATAACGTCATTGAAAATGACCATTGTAAATAATTTAGAATTTCAAAGACTGTATTAACATTTCATTTTTTGTTTCCAACTAAAAACAGCTATGTATATTTTGATTTTTATTATTTTGTAAACATTCCTACTAATTTACTTTTAAAGTTAATTTAATGTAACAAAATAATATTTAATGCCGTATCTATGTTGTATATTGTTACATTATATCATTTTCAATATTAAATCAAAACTAATACGGATCAAAATATTCCATTGCCTTTTATGTATATTTCAAATATGTTCCGATCGTTTGTATTGATGACTTTTATCTAATCGTTATTATAAATCTTATGATGGGTATCGAGATTTAAACGTAAAACAAAATAAATTTAACGCATAGTTATGTTGTTTTATTTTAAAATTAACACGTGTAACCTACAGGGATTGATCTTTAGCACCTTCGACATTACTTAAACGTGTCACGAACGTTTTCGAATGACTATTCTATTCGCATTCTTTCCGAAATGTTACTGGGATAAATTCACCCGATCTTTGTTTGTATTTTAATAATTATTTTCTAAACTCTGCCTACTTCTCATAGATAAGGGCGTGAGTATGTAAAGCTAGTATCCTATTATAATGGGCAAAATTATAAGCAACAGAAGGAAAAAAAGAAATTATTATTTTTGTAGAAACAACAAATAACGTAACGTGTTAAACAGAATTTTACAAACTAATTACGTAAATATTTGTATTCAAATTTAATTAAGAGTACATAGTTGTATACAGAAATATTCAATACAGGATTTTGATTATTTTATTTCATTACTACGAAAGGGTCAGTTTTATTTCAGAAAAGTCTCAAAAAACATTTTGATGTCATTCAGTTAAAAGGTGCGGAGCGTTTTTAAAAGCTCTTACAGCTTTCACAAGGTACCTCAATATTTTCTTTTTCAATGTACTTTACTTTAAAAGTTATAAAACCTTTTTCAGGAAGCATCTTTAGTTGTCACTCTTCGAGTAATTACAAGCATTTACTTTGCGCTATTCAATTATATTATTGCGGATGTTTATGGGTCGCTTTTTCGGTGGATTCAGTTGGCCGCTTGCTCGTTTGACACCTTATATTATAATAAAACATTGCTAGTTTTATGTCTTTTGACATGTTAGATTTGAAGCAAGTGTTATAAGTTAAAACAACGCAATAGTTTTCTACAGCTTTTAAAATATGCGAATTTGCGAGTAGTTTATTAACAGGCGTTGTATAATATCAGTTACGTCTCACAATTCCTTATACAAGACTTAACACATAATATTTGCATATACACTATTCAGTAATTCGTATTTATAAACACCACTGTGATAAAAATTTACACACAAGTAACATAAATTACACGCTTAGTTTACTTTAACGAATTGTTAGTAAGAGTACCTGGCGGCATTGTTTGAATTTGGATGTTTATAAGAGCTCGTTATAAATTGAAGCAGCGAACACAAGCGGCATATTGTATTATGTGCCTAACACCGTTTGTCCACTTTAATATTACATTGTTTGCCTCTTGTACTAGACTTGTTTATATAAAAAACAATTATATATGCCAGTATAAGGTTAGGCAAATATTTCAAGCATAAAGAAAGTAATGAATAAACGCCCGAATATTAAAACTAAGTTCTTTGCTTCATAAACGCTTGCAACTGACAAATATCTAATCATCATCCACTTGCCCTTATCCCATACGGAGGGTCGGCACAGCCTATCAACCTATCAGCCGTCACATCTGAAACCACTGCTTCCTTAGTCATATCCTCTTTCACACAATCCATCCATACTTTCTTCGGTATTCCTCTTCCTTTATAGCCAATATAACTGACCAATATCTTAAATAATAAAGATGAAAGATTTGTATTTTTGTATGTATTGAAATAACTTAAAAACTACTATGCCGATTTTAAAAATGCTTTTACCGTTAGACAGGTAATTTATCTGTAAGTTTATAGATTGTGGTTTTAATTATTTTTTAATTTAAGCAACAGCTAATATCCGATATAATTTAGAGTAAGCATGACTTTACTATAGGCCGATAGTCTGACAGTATCATATATTTATATCAGCATCATGTCAGCTACCCTGCAGTGAAAGTCCCGTCGAAATCGGCCCAGCCGTTTCGGAGGTTACCCCAAACAAGCGAGGCTTGCGCACAGACAGATAACAATTTTTAAATGCGATTTTCGTTACAGATTCTCCAATTTTATTATATGTATAGACAATCTAGAATATCATACTATTCATACTAATATTACAAATGCGAATGTTTAGATAGA